ATGCACACTTTATGCTTACTAGGTGAGTGTTTGAGAGGTCCCTTAAAGTCATGTGACGGAGCTGTTATATTACTACCATTTTGATTATGTGTTCAGGTGAAGAAAATGTGCTGGAGATGACTCATTAGAGGTAAACGATGACACAGCCCAGGCATTTTATGTGTGTCACTCTTTCCTTTGGGCCCCTGCTCTCAGACACGCATGTTCTGCTGTACGTACACCAGATCCCTGTTCCTGCTCATGCTCATGCTGCAGTTTCATATGCCTTTGTAGAGTCTCTACAGTGCTGCTTATCCTGCGCATTCTGCTTCCAGATGCAGTTCTTTTCGGTTTACTGCACTATCACAAAATTGTAGTAAGCATGTATTTTGTACCAGGACTTGTCTTACATGTTAGGAAAGATGCTCTGAATACTGTCATATTGATTCCATCTGAATCATAGAGTAGAAATATGAAAGAGCCTCTGGAGGTTGTCTTCTTCAAGCCATCTTCTTCACGTAAAGAAGTTGAGGCTGGGAGATACTGAATCCTTTTCTAAACATCACCCCCAATTGGTGGCAGAGCTGATAGAATCCAGTTAGTGTATTCACTGTACCATGCAACCCAAATCTTGCTTTCAACCTGTGTACCAAGATGTGGTACTGATAACGCTTCAGATTGATATGGGCTTAGTTTTTTGGCAGAAGAACTGGAATTGAACTGATTGACACTTGGCGATCAGTTATTATGAATCGGAATCAGCTCCATGCCAGTGGGTTGAATCAGTTCCCATTCACACAACATAAGTTGGAGTACTGGTATTATAGTTTAGATCTGTGGCTGAAGAACAAGAACAGGGCTAACATTGAAAAAATACTTAAACTTGGAACCAAAAGACCAAAAGCCTATGCTACTACTCCTTATTAGCTAGAGAATATTGTGAACCTTCCTTAAGCTTTGCCTTCATATTTCTCAAATACATCCCGTGAAGTTGTTCAGAACAAAGCTTCTCAAATGAGTACTGAAGAACCAATTTTATATTGTGTTTTTGCATCATTGCTTTTTAGTTTCTAAGTGTTTGTGATAATATCAAAGGTCTCTAAAAGTTTAGCCACCTTCGCTCCCGATGGATTCTCAGTAGCTGGTTCAGCACTACAGGAGCAGTGATACGGCAAAGCCCTGTGGCCTACAGAACCTACAGTATTTACTCTCGGACCTCGCCTCACTGACTCTGCTGTAGAGGAAAATGTTATCTAATGTGTTGCATAGTCTTTATTTCCTGCAGTGACTATCTTTCCCATTTCCTTGTGGCATATTTTTTATAGTCTTTTTACCACCTGGATTATTTTATTAACATATTTGTGCCCTTCCCTCCTGGAAACAAACAATGCTTTTGCTTTGCTTGTGGCCTTCTTCCTGATGTCTTCAAGAGTGTGGAACAGTGTAGCTGCTCAGTAAATGCTTGTTGCTTCTTTCTCCTTTCCCTCAGACTGGGCCTTATTTACCTAGCGACACAGACATTTTTCACGTCTTTCTAGTTTATTCAGTTCCAATTAGAATATGTTCCTCTTACTCTTTTCACATTTATACTTAACCTAGTTCTAGATCTATTCCTTCCCAGTACTCAGACTACTTTGGTAATATTTTTTAGCTTATCCATATAGTCCATCTTTAATTGTTATAATTGTATTTCTTTAAATTTATTGTCAGTGTGATTTTGTACTTTGTTTGCTGAATAAGCAAACTGTATTACAAACTTCCTGGCTTTGCTTTATAATGTTGCCCTTGAGTTTTCCTTGTGGTAAGTCCTGGTCTTGCTACAGCACTGGTTCTCAACCTTCCTATGCCGCAGCCCTTTAATACAGTTCCTCATGTAGTGGTGACCCCCAACCATAACACTATTTTCATTGCTATGTCATAACTTAATTTTGCTACTGTTATGAATCAAGCAACCCCTGTGTGAAAGGGACATTCGACCCCCCAAAGGGGTCGTGACCCACAGGTTGAGAACCACTTTGCTATTATCGTATAGTCCTTCTATTGAGCTGTAAAGCACCTGTTACTTGTCACGGGAGGTATCAGTTAAGTTTAACAGTGAGTAGAAGGTCCAAATAGGGCAGCTTATAAAAGGGCTTGTTACAGGAAAAAGAGACTACTTTCAACAGAGGGATTAGACCTGTGGATTCATTGGAGCTGAGATCTGCGTGTATTTATTATAAAGGATTTAGAAGTTTTAAAACAGAACAAGGAAACAAAAGTGTAAGAGGCAGACTACCCTATTTATAGAAATCTCCCATATTTCTATAAATATGAGGTGGGGGCCGTTAGCAGCATTTTTCTTTTGGGAGGCTTTGATAGGCAAGTGGATAATCAATTTACAGCTTTCTATTTATTGATTTACTGAGTCCTTACTTTGTGTCTAGTGTAGAGGCCCTCTTGGAATACTAAGGAAGTAGTAGACATGGATCCTCCCCTCGGTGGTTTGAAATGTCGTTCGGAACTAATGTATTACGCACCTGACAGTTTAAAGGACGGTTGTGTTCTATTGTGTGGAGAGGCAGGAAGAACCAACCAGAGCTTCGGCTCTTGAGCTCTCAGATTGCTGCCTCTTTTCCTGGGAAAAGACAAACAAGGTTAAACAATCTGTCTTCCTTGCTCCATTAACAAAAGCAGGAACAGGTTGTGAAATATTAGGATAGCATGATTCCAAATCTTCACCCATAGATTCATCATTTATTCTTTTGAAAGTCTCATGATATACATTAGAATGCCTGCTATGGGCCCAACCCTGTAGGGATTCTTGAGAATAACCCATGGTGGGAAATTGCAGAGAATTTAAACCTTATTTGAAGTGAAAAGATATGTATGTGTATGAGATATAATTAGCACTAATAACATAGATATTTCAAAGAGCATTTGAAGGGAAGTCAACAAAGCCCTCATGAAGGTGCTAGAAAATAGTTTGTTTAAGGGGTGGGTAGATTCAGAGGAGCAGATGGTAGGGAAGCACATTTTTTCAGTAGACAATTATGTTGTTGCTATGTTGCCAACAAGTCGGTTCCGACCTATAGCAACCCTTATGCACACCAGACCAAAAAACTGCATAGTCTGCACCTTCCTCACGAGTGTTCTATGTCTGAGCCCATTGTTGTAGTCACGGTGTCAATCCATCTTGTTGAGGGCCACCCTCTTTTCACTGCCGCTCCACTTTACCAAACAAGATGTCCCCCAGAGACAGGTCTCGAAGTGTGTCGACATTCATGGGGGACCTTAAAGAGCCCTGGTGGCATTGTCCAGTAAGCGTTGGACTGCTCACACGGTTGGCAGTTCAAATCCATCAGCTGCTCCAAGAGAGAAAGTGTCTAGCAAGTGGATGTAAAGAGAGGAATAAGTATGGTCAATGTGAAAACCAGGGGAAAGTGTTCAGACTGGGCTGACTGAAGGCTTGAAACCAGTTCACTAATGTACCCTTAGGATCAATTAAAAAGAACTTGCTCATAAAACTTCTCTCCTCTCTTAATTCTTAATACCAAATTTTGTCCACCGTATTATTTAAGAAATGAAAAATGGAGGAAATGTTAACTGTCATACAAATAAGATCTCAGAAATGCAACATAAATGAATTAAGAGATTAGTGAATGATACTCTGACCTGAAAAATACTCACACTGCTATTTCCAGCTTTTTGCCACATGTAGAAAATAGACACGTGAGATGAATTTCTGCTATTATTTTTGAGCTCACTCTTTAGTATCCTTTATAAGAGAAACTTCTATAATCACTTAGGAAGAGCTGCAGAAGTCTGTCAGAGACCCCTCAGTTGCACTATATTTATTTTTGCAAAACAAACATTGGCTGAACCATTTGTTTTCATTATGTATAACAGGAAACAGCTGTTGCTCTTGCTGTTGCGCATTGAGTTCCTGGGAGGGTGTAGAGTGATTCTGCTTTTTCCCTTATACCCAATAGTTCAACTGAGGATCAACGATTCGAAAATGTGAAGATTGTGTTCCTTCTTGCCCCTCTTTTCTGCCCAGTCCCTGACACAGTGTTTGACATGCAGTGGGTACTTGGTACATGCCTGTTAGATGCATGAATATTAGATGTTTAAGGGTATATTCATAATGTGGCAGGTCTTACCAGTCATGAGAAAACAAGTCTTTTCAGAATGTAGTAAAAAAAAGTTTCTATTTGATACCTGTTGAAGTTTACCTAAGAAATAGGTAAAAATGGGAACATGGTAGAACTTTTCATTTTTGCTCTTTGTACTTACCAGCTACTAGAAATGAAATATTTTTTTTATTAGCTCCTAGGTAAGATATATGCCAATATTTCTCTAATTCGTGTCTCTTGTTTTCCAAGAGGAGAATTAAATCCCTTTAGGATAATCTTAGGGCAAAGCTCACGTTTGTTTTCTAATTAGTGATCTTCGTTCTTCCATTTCCATAAGAAACAGCCAGATAAAAGTATTAGGAAAGACCCTCACACCCTCCTAAAGGGGCTTTTTGGAGGCTGGGGAAGGATGCTTCCCCCAAATGCAGGTGATTGACTCCTGTATTTGAAGTTGACACAGTGGATTTTGTTTGCAATGCCTAATTCAATCTGAAGAAATATTTTTCACTTCCTACAGACATCAGAGTAAAGGAGCAGTCTTTGGAAAATCTAATCAAGTAAGTTATTATGAAATTGCTTACATCTATCTTAATTCATTAAAAAATTCTGTTAAATTCAACTTAAATGAAATGAGGTCAAATGATTATTGAGAAGCCATTTGCATTAACAGTTAAAAACTAGATACGTCTTATGAAATAAGTAGTACAGTAGGGTAAAAAAACCATAGTTGTACCTCACAGGCACTCAGCAAAGATTTGTGGATTGAATTAGTGAATGGGGAGACAGAAGAAGCTGGTTTAAACCACTAGCTCTGAGCTGCTCTTGGGCAAGCCCCTTCCATCTCCGAGTCCTACTTTCCTCGTGTGTATTATGAGAGTCTTGATCTACTTTTGCTGTGACAGCAGTGTCTACATGTGACTAATGCTACTGAGGAACTGTATTATTTAATTTGAAATAATTTAAAGTTGACTGCTTAGTTATTGGAAAACTTTTAAGTAGGTGTGCAACAACTCTGATATGGGAATATTTTTGAAACTATTTTATGAAATCTGAACACAAATCAAATATTTCCAATGAAAATTGAAGTATAAAATACACATTAGGTTTCTATATAAAATGGCTCAATAACTTTTATGCTACTAACTTTTAATATGTTGGGTTTGAAAAATAAAGTATTAAAGTTAATTTTACTTAATGTGACATCTAGAAAATTTTAAAATATTTAAATGTAAAAAGTTAATTGTGGATCATGGTATATTTCTGTAGCATAGTTCTGACTTAGAGGAGTATTTGGTGAATCAGTAAAATAATGTATGTGAACTGCAAAAGCTCAAATTTTTAATTATGATCAGTGGAAACCCCTAGTAGACTTTTAAAACATACCTCAGTCAACATATTTCACCCTGCAAAATTTTCACCTTCACAGCTTTAGTTTATTTTTCATAGAGCAAGAAGTGAAAAGAGGAACATGTGGTTTAAACATAGTAATAAAAATAAACAGTATAGAACCTGATCAGTGCGTGAGCCAAGTAGTCACTTTCATCAAATGATTTTTCCAAAAGCATCACTTGTATAGTCATTCTGATTTAGACATCTATATTTACAGTGTTGGATTTTTCTCTCAGCTAATATTTTATCGTGAAACGAGAGGGCAGTTGAAGTAGAACAATGAAAAGGTCTTAAGAACCTTAGAATAAGAACTCTACCCGTGGGTTAAAGAGGGCATCACCTGGAAGCTTCCAACAGAATGTAGGCTCTTGTGCTTGAGTGCACTTGGAGGAGTTATGCACTCAGAATACATTATGTAATCCCATGGTAAGAACAACAGTCTTGTTTTGTACTTCCAGGGGACGGAAGATCTATGAGCCTCCCAGCTATATGAGTGTGAACCAAGCAGCTCAACAGCTTCTGGAGATTGTTCAAAATCAAAGAGTTCGAGGAGAAGAACCAGGTACTCAAGACCTAGCATGAGGCCTCAGACAGTCCCCTGCTGCCCCTGGCAGCGCTGTCCCGGAAGTGTTGGGTTGTTGACCAGTTGACCATTCAAACCCTCCAGTCGTATTTGGGGAAAAGCTGAAACTTTCTGCTCCCTTGAAGGTTTATAGCCTTGGAAACCCAAAGAAGTAGCTCGAACCTGTCCTATGGACACCGCATGAGTCGGAGAACTTCACGGCAGTGACTGTGTACTGCTGTTGGTGTGTGTGCAATGTAACCACCTCAGCAGGGCCATGGAAGAGTCAGGGTAGTTTCTCATATCTTTTTTCCCACTTAACCCCGTGGAATGCAAGTCCTGCTGAAAGAAAACTAATAGAGTTCTATCTAATAAAAATGACAGTACTCCAGACAGGGAGGCATTTTCATAAATCAACTGTAAATAAGATTTGAGGTAACTTATGTTAAAGTAGAAATAATTTGGTAAAATGCAGAATTTCAGTTTTGGTGTACATGATATCTTTCCTGCAGAAATATGTGTATTCTTCTTTTATTAATTCTTATCACAAGTCAGAAATAGCTTGCTTTAGGGCAAAGATAGCATTTTTCTTCATATTTCTAATATCAAGCCACAGCAGGTATATATATTAAAGGGTCAATAAATCTTCATTGAGAGACTCTTAAATGAACCTGTCATGACACTTTATTGAAAGGTGGTGACTACCTCTGAGCACTATCCCGGATAACTTGAGTACTCATGGCTTATTTTATCTTCCTTTGTAGGCTTTGTTACAGTCCTGGTAGCAGTAGTTTACAGGGTATTTATCCCCGTCGTTTCCTAGACAGATCCTGTAAACCTGTTTATCCTTGTGTAAATCATTGGCCCATTTTGACCATTGTTCAATCAGCACTACTTTTCTACCCAAATAACAAAAGCAGGAAAGGGTCAACCCTTCGGCCACAACACCAGAGTGAGTCATACTAAAAGTTTCACAAAAGTTAGACATTTTGAACTTACAAGCATAATACCACAAAGCCTGTGATTTGTTAAGAGCTTAGCAGTTTGCTAAATACCTAATCTATTATCTCTCCTCACAATGACTTTTTAAGACAGTATTTCTGGGGTTTTTTAATAAGAAAACTGAAATTTGTCACATAGCTAGCTAGTGACCAATCAGAAGTTCAAATCTGTGCACTTACAGTCCTGTATTTTTCCAATATATCTTAGTCAATCCGAACTTATCTCAAACAATGAATGAAAACAATGAGCATGTAGGGGTATGGCGCACAGTGGGATGGGGTGGGAAGGGGGAATGGTAAAAGGGAGATGTTGTCAAGGAGTTTAGAAAGAAAAAGAATGTTTGGAAACTGATTGTGGTAGCAATTGCACAGTTCTACTTGACGTGATTCGACTATAGAATGATATGTATAAAAATAATGATTATGGTACTGTAAAAGAATAAATATATATACATGTAATATGATTATGTTCTCTTCACTGAGAGTATTTATAGACCAATGTTGTATGATTATGAAGGACAAATAAAGCAAATAGTTTTTATCAAATCTTAATAACTAGAGGAATTTTTTAAAATTCCTTATTTGTTTTTTAAACTAGGCTTTGGAACTTAAACTAACATTAGGAATTCATAAAGGATGAAGTTGAGAGTTAATACTTTATTTGGCAGGTAGTATAAAAGCCAATAGCTAGAAAAATGGTTAATTGGTTCAAAATCAGTGACTAAGGGAATTGAACATATTTTGGACACCTTTAAATGCCCTTTAGGTGCCAATGTGAGTTTGAGTGGCATACTGACTGACTATTTCAATGGCAATATCTGTTGTTTTTTAATTATGAAACAGCCATCACCGAGGAGACACTTTGTGTGGGCCTAGCCAGAGTTGGAGCTGAGGACCAGAAAATTGCAGCAGGCACGCTGCAGCAAATGCGCACTGTGGACTTGGGAGGACCACTACATTGCTTGATCATCACAGGAGGTAGCATGCATCCTCTGGAGACCGAGATGCTAAATCTCTTCTCCATCCCAGAGGATGCCTCAGAATGTCACCACAGTGATGCCCTCTGAATGTGGACGTTATCTGTTGTTATTTTCTTTCATATCTGTATGTACATATATTTGTATAATCGGACAAGTCTCTTTTTGCCTTATAAGTATAAAACAGAGCCAGGAAGAAAGACATTGACTCAACAGTGCGTGGCTTCCTGGGACCATGAGTTTCTCTGTGCCACGACATGCCGTCATCAGCTCTTGGCTGCTCTGTTGGCAGCAACTTTCCGGGACGGCCACATGGCGCAGGCCGAGCCAGAGCACGCCCCAGACAGAGTCACTTTAAAAGCAACTTTCATTTGTAAAATCCGTTTTTACAAAGTGTCACAGACCATAACTTTGAGAGATAACTGGAATGTGAATCGCTTTGAATTAAGCAAAAGTGCCAGAGTAAAAAAGGAAAAAGAAAAGCAAATAAAAAGATTGTTAACCATTCATAAACTGTTTTATAACTCTCTTTTTGTCTTTTTATTCATCTGTTCTGAGTGTAAGAGCGGTTGTCCAGGGTTCACACGCACACCGGGGTTGGGCGCGTTTATGTCCCCACTAACCAGCCTGATTGTCCCAAAGCCCAGCTGACGACCTGACACCTTGTGAATTGGCTTGTCTCATTCAGCTGGCATCTACATTATGTGGCTCATATTCTGCTGTACTGTGGAGCTTATGTAACTGATGAATTATAAATGCTCAACCATCCGTGTACATTTGTCGTTTTAAATAGCATCTTCCATACCCAACTCAGCAAATGGAGAAGTTCCAGACTAGAATACAATTTTTTTTTAAATTTAAGTTTGAAGACAACAGTGGATTTTTCAAGATGCATCATATTACTTAACCTCAGTTAATATACTATTAATATCTGAAACTAGTTTCCATACTAGTTTTAAGCAATGCCATTTATCTGTCTTATTGAGTTTGGCACTTTTTGTCAGTTGAGAACAGAAATAAATAGCTTTGGTGTAGGCTAGTTCAGGGAGCCCTGGTGGCACGGAGGGTAAGGCTCAGCTGCTAATCAAATGGTTGTTCAAACCCACCAGATCCTCCACGGGAGAAGGCTGGCACTGCTTCCACACCGGCCAGCCTGGGAAGCCCTACTCAACTTGACAGCAAATGGGGTTGGGTTCTAAGGCTAATTCCGTTACTCTGAGTATTTCCATATCCTGATGAGTTTATCTGAACCCTGTTCAGTAAATGTGTTGGAAACTGGGCAAAGACACTTGCCACATCATTTAGCTAGAGAATACAGATTTATTTAAGATGAAAGATAGTTTATATGAAACCGTCTAGTTTTAGACAGGTAAGAACTGGTTAGATTAAGTACTATCTCTGTATTGTCTTCTGAGGTGTTGCATTTAAACATTAAAAAATGAGTGCTGGTTTGCATAATGGGAGAAAATGGACAAAATATAGTTGTTGGTTTTTTTAACTTTTAAGTTTATAGAGCAAATTGGCTTTCCATTCAATACTCACTTTGATTCATGACATTGACTTTGACTGTAACACCCATAACTAACAACTCTTCCCAATTCCTCCCTTTGTTTACCCTTTTCATGATCATCCTTTTCCTTCCGGCGTCTGCGCTCTCTCCCTGGGCAAATGACTGCCCTCGTGATCTTGTGGTTGCTGGTTGATTGTTCATCCAGAAGTATGAATCTTCTTGATGTTACTACTCACGTTATAGGCTTATATCTAGCCGGCGGTTGAGCCGCAGGGTTCAGTTCCAGGTTTGAAGGGTGTCTAAGAGCCACCCTTCTGTAGGCTTAGAAACGTCATGAAGCAGTTATGTGTCCATAGAGTTGCTGTGAATTGGAACCAGCTTGGGGCACAAAGCAACAGCTTTTGACACTTGTTGATTAGTTTTTCTTCTGCAAGGGGAACGTCTTGTGGTGCTTTGCACTGTAGCTTGGACGTTTTGAGGATGACGATCTGGGTCTTGTTTCAGGAGCCCTGCTTATGCACTGGGTTGTTCTTGCACAGCTAGCAGTTCAAAGTACCAGCTGTTCCTCGGGAGAAAGACCGCTTTCTTTCCCCTTGAAGGTTTAGTCTTGGAAATCACAGGGCTGGCCCTACCCTGCCCTGTGGGTCACAGTGAGTCACAATCAACCCAATGGCAGCGGTGCTTTTTGGTTCTGCGTCTTGGGTGTCCCTTTCCGTATAGGTCTTTGTGTGCTGTGCAGCTCACTTTCCAAATCCCGTCTGCGTCAAGTTCTGCTCATGGGCTCTGGAAGCCGCCCAGTGACCAGTACTTGAATTTTGGTGTTCTTTCCTGGTCCCCCCGCTGCTTATTTACTCTTAAGTATTCAGAATAGTTGCTCTGTGCATGCTATCCAGGTTTTATTGACCCACTCAGGTGGGAGACAAAGTAAATAAAGTATGCTTATTTCCTCTCACCTAGAACCAGAAAAAAATTTGTGATGAAATTTTCCTGTAACTTAATGAGATGTTTTCTATATAGCCATAATGCTTTTGCTATCGTCTCTTGATATTATTGTATTAAAGCAGTATTGCTTTCTGGCAAAAAGTCTAATATAAAGAGCCTCAGTTTTCTTGGGGGAAAAAAGGACTGATGACACAATCTGAATGTTAGGTACAACTCAGCCTTTCAAATGTCATATTAGGTTCCAGGAAGCCACATCTTTTAAGCTAGTTTTAGAAGGTGTTGTGAGAGTGTCAAATTAGCTACTCTGTGTCTAATACTAAACACTCCGAAATAAAAGCCTCTTTTATCAATTAACGAAAAAGCCAATGGGAAGTCCTTGCTCCAACTAAGGTAACTACAAAGACAGTCATTTGAAGTTCAGTAGAAATGCACACAATCTATGCACACGTTTTTGCTTGACAGGAGATTGTGTGCCTTCCTGAAGGTGACTGCATTCCCATCTAACAAGGCATCTGCGATTTTCACAGCTCACAGCAAGGGGTCAGGGTTTTAACTGCTTTGAAACCAAATGTTTGTTTAGGTATAAATCTGAATTTTTCATACTTAGGCAATGTTGCCCTTTTAAAATACTGTTTTTTGCCTACATCTAGGAAGCACTTCTTAGACTTGCTCCTTTTCATTTTTAACCTTCCGGCTTTAGCAGTGTCTGTTTTAAAAAATATAATTCACTGTAACAATCCATAGAGAACTGTTTTTCAATAGCTCAGTTTTATTTTATGACACATAATTCATCTATGCTTTAATAATTTTGATTGCCTCCTCTGCTACACTGTTGTTCACATTACTTCTTTGGAAAATTTAGCAGATAGAATTCTATGTGTGCTTACTTGGGAGCAAGACGAAGCTGGGTGCTCCAGTAAACATTTACAACCTGTAAACCCGCAGGGGGGGCTACCCTGTCCAGTTGGGTCACTGTGAGCTGGAATCAACTCAGTAGCAGTGAGTTGTGAGTTTGGTACATTTAAATAGGGTTAGCATATGCTAAACATGAACTGAATGGTTGATTTTTATTTTATTTTTTTCCCTTTTTTAACACGAATTTCCTAAATATACTCAAGCTAGAACTTGGCATTAAAAATTAGAATTCCATAAAGTGCTGTTTTATTTATTTATTTTGAGGGGGAAGGAATGAAAATCGTATGTTGCTATCACTTGCTCTACATGTATCAGACCTGCGCAGCCCTGTGTCTCTGATGTTTTTTCTGGTCTGGGCTAATGAAAGGTTGCTTATAACACAGGGAATGAGATTGGATAAGTAGGAAAAGCACTGAGTATCCAAATTGTTCGGAGGGATTTGTCTTTAGATAGCCATTAGAAGAACTGCAAACCCAAAGGTTCAAGGTATAAATCTACCAGCAGCTCAAAGGCAAAAAGGTTTGGGGACCATTGCAGGCTGCAAAACCCCATGCAGTTTTGCTCGGTCACATGGAGTGTCTCAGTGGGAATCAATTCGGGGCCTCTTCACAACAGACGAGGCAGCCCTGGTGGTGACACGCTGGGCTGCGATGTGCTTGGTCGGCAGTTTGCAACCAGCAGCAGCTCTGCAGGAGAAAGGCTGGGCTCTCCACTCAGGTAAACAGTTCCTGTCTCGGAAACCCACAGGGGCTCACTCGGAGTCAGCAGTGACTGGGCAGTGAGTTCTCCGTCGTACTTGGAGACTGAAGGTGCAAATTGGGAAGTTGACAATCTGTCAGTATCATGCGGTGGCTTTTGAGGAAACAAAAACCCTAGATAAAGAGATTGGGTAGTGAAGGATTGCAGTAAATAACCTGCCTGAATTTGTGTAAACAGAAGGGGCAACTTTTGAAAGGCTACCTCTGGCAGATCAGAGCTAATTCCATAGAACATAGGAAAGACAAGAGGCTGCTGGCGGGGGCTCTAGATTTCCCTTATCCAAGTCCAGTAAGCAGGAGAGCTGGCAACAGGTAATCAGGAAGCCAAGGGAAAGGGGATGTTTGAAGGCAAAAACTTGATTCAGCAGAAATTCCTATTTCCTGCTCAAAGCCAGAATTACACTTTTTCAGAGGAAGGATGGGGAAGTGGGGGAGGGGCAGGGTGTGTGTGTGTGTGTGTGTGTGTGTGTGGCTAAAATGGGGATAGCTAAAGCATTGGTGGTGTCGTGGGTACATGTTGGGCTACGATCCACAAGGTCGGCCTTTTGAAACCAACAGGCTCCTCCAGAGGAAGATGGCTTTCTACTCCTGTAAACAGTTTCGGTCTCAGAAACCCACAGGGGTCACGAGGCGTCAGCATGGACTCGATGGTAGTGAGTGGGTGGGGCATGGAGTAGAAGTCCAGTGTTCCCAGAGCGATTCTGCGTACATCCACCAAGTCTTAAGAGTAGAGCACTGAGAATGAATGCTCCATTTAAACGATTTTAAATGGAGGACATTGTCATAGAGGAGAACTGGAGTGAAGAAATGGAGGTGTCAATCACAATGTTTTTTAAGACTCATCTGAAGATTTCTAACAGATGGACAGATGAGAAGACACTTGGGGGAGAGATGAATTCATCTTTTTTGAGATGCTGGTAGTTCTGCCCTGGATTAATGAAGCATGCCACGGATGGCCTTTGAACCACCTGTATAAAACGTGCGAGAAGTGGCAATGGTTCGGAAGGAAGGAGAAATGGAAGCACATGGAGACCACCCACGGAGTTTAATAGCAGGCACATTGAGGATCAACCCTTACAGTATGGTAGAAGTGGGGATTAAAGGGGTAGCAGCTTTTGTAGTTATTTTAAATATTTTTTCTGACTAGAAGAAACAATTTTTAAGAATTGACGGAGGGCCACGTCATGCTTTTGGTCTCCGTTTTACATGAGACGATCCATAAAGACTGAAGTGAGAGAACAAGTGGGGGGTAAGTGGAAGCGTCTGGAAATAAACCCTGTGGGACGTGCTGCTGAAGTGAGTGATGACCGAGCGCAGTGAGGATGAAGACTTTGCCAAACCTCCTGGCGTTCTTCTCCGGAGGAGTTCTGTTTTGGGAAGGC